TTCAATAGCTGCCGATTGAAATGAGAAATTGCTGGCAAAATCAGTGGGTGAGACTGACAGCAATTGATAACGATAATAATAATAATAATCCTTGCATTTGATGTAGCACTTTTCATGTCTTCTCGACATCTCAAAGCGCTTCACAGAATATGCTGTAAAGTGAATTAACTGTATATTTGTAGGCGAAACGCGGCAGCCAATTGTGCACAGCAGTGTCCCACAAACAGTCGTGGATTGAAAATGACCAATTTATTTTTGTTCTGTTTTGGAGGGATTATTATTAGGCGTGTCGAGTAAGGAAACTTCCCCAAGGTTGCGCCCTGACCTGCCTGGAATTGAACCCAGGTCTCTCGCTTGCCAGGCGAATACTCTAAATACTGAGCTACAGGACTCCACGATCTGGATTCCACACACAGAAACCCAATGCCTTTGCTAGAGTGCTAGAATTTAGAAATGAGAATTTTAACAGACCGCCCTAGGCTTTAATTTAGATACACTGAGTATTTTGCAGTCTTTTTTTCAATATTTAATGAACTATTGTGGGTAGTTTAGTTAGATTGCATTCACTGAAAATACTAAGCAGATCCTAAACGATTGATGTTGCAGGAGAGGTACGAGATGTTTTACAGTTATAAATACGGAATTGAAGCATTGCAGGCTCCTTGCTCTGCTATTTGCTTCACTAAAGTGAGGGCAGGAAATCATTTGAAAGTAATATTGCCCTAGAATTGCTGCTGGGGAAGGAAGATGGAGACGAGAAAGAGGATTGCTTGACTCAGATAACTTTTTACTTTGGACCTTCAATCCTGCCCTCTTATCCATGCTAAACCCATCCACTAGCTGTTGGTAATCCTGGCCGCTCACTATTAAGTTACATGACTCTCTCCCCACGACTCTCTAGAAATTCACAGAACCATAGAGAGTAGGAGGAAGAACCGTAGCCTTTTTGAGTGGAGAGCCATGGACATTTTTGGAGAACCATAGAAATTTACAGCGCAGAAGAAGGCTGCTCAGCACATTGTGCTTGCTTTGTGCTTAAGTCTGTGCTTAAGGGCTCTGAGACGCTGCCGTGCGTGAAGGGTGCCGTATAAATGCAAATAGTTGCTGTGGCTCTTTTAAAAGCAATCTTTTCAGTCCCATTTACCTGCCCTTTCTCCCTACCCCTGTAGTTTCATTTATTTTGAAAGCTAATATGAATTTTGCCTCAATCATCGCTCCCAGAATGGCAATCTAAATCCTAACCAATCTACATTTTAAAAAATCTCCTGATTTCTCCATATGCTCATTCGCTGACTGTCTTAAATTGACAGACGCTCTTGAGAAGGGAAAGTGGGAGGAGAGACACAGACATTTTTCAGATAACACAGAAGGAGAGTTGGGCACATTTTAGAGTGAACATTTGATTTAACATAACAGGACTGAAGGGTAGGAAGGGTAGTCAGTCAGTGAGATTTTACAAGGTGGTGCTGGAGTGAGTGTGTGTGTGTGTTAGTTCAATGCAGACCAGCTGCTGCTGCTTACTGGCGAAGGATCAAGCCAATATCATTGCAGTGTGTACTATATCAATATAGCAAATATATCAATATAGCAAGTGTATTGATTGTGGTTTAACTATGAACCACATTAAATGGAACTATAGGTACAGGCTGTAAACTAGAAGCATTAATGATTATAAACCATCAATTAATCAATCCTGTAATTGAATACGTTAAATTTATTGCAGCAATATAATTGTTTTCAGAGCATTGATAGTTCACTCTTCAAACTGCTGGTAACTCACTCACCCAGCCTGAGCTGTGAATCACTTCCTCTTTCAGACCCACAGAAGCTAATGTAATAATAACAATCCTTGCATTTGATATAGTGCCTTATCATGTCTTCGAGACATCTCAAAGCGCTTCACAGAATATACTGTAAAGTGAATTGATTGTATATTTTGTGGGCGAAACACAGTAGTCAGTTCCACACAGCACTGTCCCACAAACAGTCGTGGATTGAAGTGACCAATTTTTTTTAAGGAATTATTACTCCTGGAAATTAGAAGAAAAAAGTGAAACTTTTCTTTTTATTTACCAGAAAATATACAATCGGCAAACATACTTGAAAAAGGAGGGACATGAGTTGAACAAAGCAAACTGAATGAGCAAATAACAAATACAGCACAGAAGCACTACCAATGGCAGAGACAAAAATAACATGGGACCTGTGACTGAGACTGTTGACACAATTCCTCCGCCTTTCACACTCCTTGCTCATCTTCAGATCTCACCTGAAGATCTTCCTCTTCGACTGTGCCAACAATCACCTCACCTTTGTCTCCCCTGGCAAGGCTTCAAGCTCTAGCAATGTGAAGTAAGACACTACCCATCGTGATAGGTGCTATATAAATGCAAGTTGTTGAGATATTGGACACAGACCACTGTTCTAAATAAGTTGCTGAATATTATTTGAATCAGTTACAAGAAATCATAAATATTACACAAGCACCGTGGAGACCTCTCCTGCACGCACTGTAAACTTTGGCATAATGTTGTCCAACAAAGCTTTTGATGCGGTTATTTCCAATTAAGGAGTGCGACATATATTTACCGATCAGAACTTCTGCCTTGTTTGTGCAATTCCATTGCAGCTTCTCAGTTCTTCAAGCTAAGAAGCCGTCAGCAGTGGTACAAGAACAGCTTCCTGGTGCATCAGTACTTTTATTATAATAATAATACTTGCATTTGATATAGTGCTTTTCGCATCTAAAAACATGGGGGTAACAGGACTTTATGAACACCCTGTAGCTGTTACATAATGCAATAGGGATAGAACAGACCCCTGGCTGCTTTGCACATCCATTTTTGCTTGATGATTTTTGACATTAAGCCATATGTTGATGCTCAAAACACCCAAGGCCATAAAGAGAGACCGCATATCATCTCAACAAAATGAGTAAAAAGATCAATCGTGCCACTCCAGCTTGATGTTTCTGAGCCTGGTGCTTTCAGTTCGAAAAATAATTTACTTTCTGCAACAAACATACATACGTCGACTGTATTTCCTTGTCAGAAAGTGAATTCAAGCAATCGGGAACGTGACTAAACTAAATGCGTATCTTGTTCTCGCTTTCTGTGGCAAATTTGCAGTTCATTTTAAACCAACGATATAATTAAAGTATAATGTTTTGCACACCAGAAAGCTTTCAAAGCAAGTTTTTTTTATTGTCGTAAAAGTAATCTTTCTGTTGTATTGATGTATAAAATCAAAAACTTCAAATTCACATGATTAAAATATTGTATCCAGAGGGAATAATTCACAAGATATTTTTGGAACCTAAATGTCGCGCTCAAATGTTCAGCAGGCTGAAAAAGCAAATCTATAAAGATCAGCAGAACATTTCAGTTTGCCTTCCCTACGTTCTGTTAGATCCACAGAAATGTATGGCACAGAAAAAGGCTGTTTAGCCCAGGTAGGTTCCTGTCAGAGTAGGAGGTGAAGTAAAGAGGATTTGTTATTGAGAAATTGTATTTTTTAGGATTGTAAACCTCTGCACGTCATGTAAAAGGCAATGAAATTACTGGCAAAATGCCATGGTTCACAGCAGAATTCAGTATGGTCAACATTGCGATTCAGACCATAATTATTGACTGATTTTGGATGCGAACACCATCCTCCCGCTTCCACATAACGGCCTGAAGCTGCTAGTGGTCGCTGCCTTTGTTCCCCACTCACAGCTGTCACCATTGTTGCCAATGGCGGAGGATAGTGTTTCATGCCGCTTAACAGAAGAATGGCTTCATTCAATCTAAAATAGATCATGAAACACAGTGAAATGTTGCACTCTGTAATTGGAAATAGCAATGGCAGCAACAAATTCTTTGATTATTGCACCAAAATCTTGTGTGTGTGGGAGGGGTGTCGTCAAGATGCTTGTGATGTATTATTGATTTCCTGTCTTTTTTTTTCAAATAGCAGAATTAATCTGTATTGACATTCAAAGGTGGTTTTGCACCTTTGACTGCAATTTTTTTTCTAAAATTGATGCGTACCAATCAGATGAATTTTTTTTTCAGGTGATTATTTTGTTACGACAGCCTGCCTGCTCAGCCATGTTCAGTTACTAAATATATTTAGGTAGTTATGGTGATTGGGGTTAGTGAAAGTGACTTGCTCTGTCAAAGATTGGCCAAATGATTGGCCAAATGGCCTCCTTCTGTGCCGTAACATTCTATGAATCTCTATGAATCTATGAATCACAACTCTAATAATCTATGGTAATTGGTTAGTGTGCAAGTGGAGCTGTGGAGTTCAATATTAAGAATAGGAAGATTAATAATAATCCTGGCATTTGATGTAGGGTCTTATCTTGTGGAGTCCTGTAGCTCAGTGGTTAGAGCACTCGCCTTGCAAACGGGACACCTGGGTTCAATTCCAGACAGGGCGAAACATTGGGCAAGTTTCCTTACTCCACACGCCTAATAATAATCCCTCCAAATTAAACAATAATAAATTGGTCATTTTCAATCCACAACTGTTTGTGGGGCACTGCTGTGTGCAATTGGCTGTTGTGTTTCGCCCAAATATATGGTCAATTCACTTTTCAGTATATTCTGTGAAGCACTTTGAGACGTCTAGAAGACGCGACAAGCGCTATATCAAATGCAAGGATTATTATTAATTATTATCACGTCTTTGAGACATCTCAAAGCGCTTCACAGGAAATACTGCGAAGTGGTTTGGCATGGCACCTTTCATGTCAGGAGGATATCCAAAAGTGCTCCACAAGATATTCTGTAAAGTGCAGTGACTATGTTTTATGGGTGAACATAGGAGAATTTTTGGGAAGAATTTAGAAATTCTCTTCAAATTGACAAAAGTAACAAGAGTTTTGTACTGTCCAATGAGTTAATGTTCCCTTGTTTAGGCTGAAGTCACTGCTTCAGATTTGAACTTCGCATTATTGAGCCGTGCATCTTCATTCCTGTTTTATAAGATGAATTCCTTTTTCTCTTTCCCAGTTGTTTTATGTCAGAGTATTCTCGCATGACGGACACCGAACGTGACCAAATTGATCAGGACGCTCAGATTTTCTTGCGAACATGCTCCGATGCCATCCAGCAGCTGAGGACGGAAGGTGAAAAGAAACTGCATTAGCTTTAATCTAACTTTTGCAAAACCTTTAAACAACTATCTCAGAGTAGGAGGAAATAATCGAGCCTTCTTCAGATATATTCTATTGTAATCATTTTATTAGGCAAGTATAGGTATTGCTAACATGGAAAATCTCAATAGGTATTTCCTCTGATTTTTCAAGGGAAAACAGAGTCAATGTCCTTAGTTTTACAGGAGAAAATCTGTTATCTGCACTAATTGGGTCTGTGGATATGGAAACATTGTTGATAATAATAATCCTTGCATTTTATATATTTTATCACGTCTTCAAGACGTTTCAAAGCGCTTCCCAGAATATACTGTAAAGTGAATTGACTGTATATTTTGTGGGCAAAACGCAGCAGTCAATTGCGCACAGCAGTGCACAGTCGTGGATTAAAGTGACCAATTTGTCATTATTAGTATTTTTTTTGAAGAAATTATTACCCCCGGAAAAGCGGTCGGCCAATTAACTAACAATCAGGTTCCTACTTACTGCTAGGTAAACAGAGGCGAGTGGAGTAAGGAAACTTGGCCAACGTTTGTTATCACAGTTATCAAAGTTGTGATAATTAGTTATCACAAAATACATCTTGGCTGCAGTGTTAACCCAAAACTTTTTTCTGTCACAAATTGTACTGTGACGAAGCACTGTATTGTGCCAGCCCTTTTTTTTCCCTGTCTTTCTTTCTAACAGTCACCAGAGCCCGCAGCAGTTTGCTAAATAAACACTTTACATTTCTGTTTCAAAGTTACACTGCACAAGTGAATCACACCTGGCAACCAAGAGTGTTAATTATTTTTTCTTGTCAATACTGCAGCTCCACTTCCCTTCCACATCAGAACCCAGTACGGATAAATGGACGTGGAGATAGTCAGCAGGCATGGGGATCTGCAGTGTTATTTGGTGTACTTTTCTTACAATCTCCCTGATCATTTTGATTCCAGAACTCTCCTATTTTTGGAATGAACTTGAACTGTTCCGGCTTGCGGGCATGCATTCATTGCCAAGAAACAAGCAGCTCCCTCTCAGCTAAAAATAAAGATGGGACTATGTCTTCGCTGTCTGTCATATGTTTTTTGTTACGAAATCTTTACCGTCCCCATCCCCTTTGGCTCCCACCCTCAACTCGGGCGCCCTTGCAGCAATTTTAAGCATTTATCTCCCGACTTCAAAGGTGCTATATAAATGTAAACATAGCACATTGTCGCAGATTAATTCACTGAATGGCATAATTGAAATGTCGAACATTGATTCATAACAGATCACTATAGCCTTTCCAATAAAAAAATGTGAAATATTCATACTTGAGGATTTCTCAATCAGCAGTGAGGTACCCAGTGTCCCCATGGATACTTTGATTAATTCCTTTCTGGTGGTTTTGGTAGTCTGGTTCCTAACCAGGCACGTCTGCAGTACTCCAGGACCCTGCTGATGACAGACCAGCCAGCCTGGCTCATTGGCAGGCACTGGAGTGGGAGACCAGTCACTGGGCACAAGGATTCTTCTCACTCTGATCCTATTAACCCTGCAAGTCAAACCCCTAATGGGTAGGATGCTCCTGACTGGTTAAGTAGCAGGTAACTGGCAAGATAATGTTCTCAGGGTCAAGCAGTACTCCAACGCACACTCTGGGGCCCCCAAATCTTGGCTCTTGTCACCTGTGCCTAATATTTTGAGGAATTAAGTTAGTGGGGTGTGTGCCATCGGGGAGAGAGAGTATGTATATCATTTCAGACATAGGAACATTTCCACGTCTAGGTGACGTTCCTATATGGAGCTCAAGTTTAGTCTGGATGATTTTAAGCATGGTGATTCATTTCCGCAAGTGTCCGATACCTGTTCTGACCAAAAATAAAGCAGTCATTTCCATTTACTCAACCACCAGCTTAGTAGCCAGTATGGAGGACGTCATTCTGGGACTTGGCTAAATATTCATGTCAGTTAAGCCTGTGCCAGCCACCAAGTGCAGATAACATCAATGTTGTAATTTCTAACCTCAAAAGAGTCCGAGACCTAAACGTGAAAGGACAACGTTTTATTTTTGTGTCAGCCAGTCATGAATACTTTTTTTNGATATATCTCGCTTGGAAATATGTTAGTCATGTATTATGAAGCCAGAGGTTGGTGTATTTTTTTTGTAATCCATGAATCACAGTCATATATCCTCTGTTTGTAATCCTACTGCTTGTTGCCAGCAGGATCCTGTCTCCAACATAATGCCGATTTTTCAGATCCCCTGTCGACTTCAATCTTCAGTTCCTAACAAATTGCTAAAATTGGGTGATGTTTACACCTGAAACCTTTTGTCATGAAACTAATGCTGCAGGACCATACATTGACTCATGATTGACTAAACCTAGAAACTACTGTTCTTTCTTTTCATAAATAGGTAGAAATATTTTTGCTTTTTTCATATAGGGAATTTCTGAAAAGGTAAATTGTACCTTCCTCTGGAAATTAGGTTTTTTTTTCTCCTGCTTCTCTTGTGATTTTCAACTTCTGATGCACTACCATCTTCACTTTTGACAAGTTGTCTCCTTCCAGAGATGTAATTCCCACAAAACTCCTTTTTCTGGTCCTCATGTAATACTTAGTTTAAAAACACAGCATCAGGACAGTTGTTTGCCCACAAAATATACAATCACTTCACTTTACGGTGAATCCTGTGAACTGCTTTGAGTATTCTGCCCTGCCCCCAACGTGAAAGGCTATATCAAATGTAAAGATTATTTTTATATATCTTTTCCTTCTATCTCATGTCTCCTCCAAACTACAAGGCCAATCAAACTGGGAAACTCATCACCCCCTCAATAAAACTGCTTTATGCTATTTGTGCAACAAATTCCAATTCCAGGCTTGAACCCACAGCCTTCTGACTATCAAGTGAGAGTATTTTGCTGATTGCTATTTGCAGAGTTGACTTGGTACTTTTTAGCTGCAGCTTCCCATCCGCCAAATGCTATTTTACTGCTGAAGATCCATCCTTCACTCACCTCGCAAGCGAGAGGACCAGGTTTGATTCCTGGGCAGGGTGAAATCTTAGGCACGTTCCCTACTCCACACTTCCTCTGTTCACTTAGCAGTAAGTAGAAACCTGGTTGTTAATAGATGCTGGATTGCTTTTAATAATCACTCATTACAAAAAATAAAAATTATAATTTGGTCACTCAGTCCACCATTGTTTGTGGAACACTACTGTGCACAATTGACTGCCGTGTTTTGCCTACAAAATAAACAATCAATTTACTTTGCCATATATTCTATGAAGCACTTATTATTCTGGTTGCCAATGCTCCACAAGTCTTTCACCTTCTCCCCTCTCTACCTTAAAGGCTGTCCTCCTGCTGATAGCCAGCACTCCCTTCAGTGCTGCTCTTGTGCAGCCGATTCAGTAAAACAAAATATGGTTCCTATGTACACTGAGGCATCTGACCATCCTCACACCATTACCTCATAACTATCACAACAGAAACCTGAAGCAATGTCAGCCATTTCCAGTCACAGATACTTTTGAATGACTGCTGATATTTTTCAGATAACTTGGCAGATGAATTGCTTGGCACAGGCAAACGTTGTAACTGAACCCTTTTTTTAAGAAAAGATTGATGCCTTAGGGGAATAGTTGTAAAAGATTTTGATGACTCTTGACTACAAGTAGATATTTGTTTGTCAGTCCAAGAACACTGCCCTCGAGATCTGTTCTGTGCAGTCTATGACAGACTTCAGTTGTATACCTATCCATCTTGTTAGCAATTCATCTGGGAAGAGTATGATAATAAACAACTTGCTTCCTGCAGCTGTTCTAAGTTGCTGGAATCCATCGAACGTTGTGTTGTTAACTGTTTGACTGCTATTCAGACCTGTTCATCGCCTTAGAATTTTGTAAAACATTTTGTACAGAAGGTTGAATGAGAATTTGCAAGTGGAGTTGATATGCTGTCTTATCCAATGTGTGTGTGTGTGTTTGTTTGTGTGTGTGGGGGTTGGGGGAATTCACAGTATGCTCTATAAGGAGGCTGGGTTGTAAACAAATGAAAATAAGTTGAGATCAAATGGGCTGAAAGGCTTTCTTAATCCATCCCTCTCTTGTGATATCTTGCAAAACAAAAAAAATGCTTGGAAATGGAATGTCGGAATCAAGCCAGCCCTCTGGGGCAATTGAGATGCATTGAACTCTCAGCTTGGTTTGGATACTCTTAAGCATTATGATGGGTTTCCGCATGTATCAGAGACCTGGCTGAGAAAATGTTTTGCAAAAAACAATTGTATAATAATAATAATAATCCTTGCATTTGATATAGCGCTTTTCATGTCTTCTAGACGTCTCAAAGCGCTTCACAGAATATGCTGTAAGTAAATTTGTGGGCGAAATATGGTTCCTATGTACACTGAGGCATCTGACCTTCCTCACACCATTACCTCATAACTACCAAATATACTTATATATTAAATATTGCTTTCAATTGCATTCCTAAACCCTGAGAGTTATCTCATCCTCTCCTCTCAATTCAGGTGACTCTACCTTTTTCTTAGGATTTCAAAGCTTTAGCTGTGGAATAACTGGATAGCTGCATACTTTGCCAGCACCTTCCAGTTTTCCTTTGATTTAATTTTGACTATGGAACAAGTTGGTTCGTTGTATGCTTTAGGAGATGTTAAATAAAAGCGCTCTGAATCACTGCAATAAAAAAGCAAAGTTGATGGATATTCGCAGCAAGTCTTCTGAAAGACGAGACAGGTTAACATTACCAGTGGGCCATTTCATCAGAACTAATGAATCGCTGACTGTGATAGCTCACACAACTGACATCTTACCTCAGCCATCATCAACAGATGTTGAGTTTTAGGGTTGACTTTCTAAATTGCCATTCCTTAGGTCTTCAAAATCATTATCCTGGCCTGGGCTACATGATACAAGAAACAAGTGTTTTCTCCCAAATGAGTTCTACTGCTGTTATTTATATTCATAGCGGCCTGGAGCCTTTTGCCTTGTTCTTTAGCTCCAGGTCTTGCATCTGTCTAGTGAAGTTTCCTTTGGAGCCTGGGGAAGTTGGTTGATGGGTCTTGAGAACCACAGCTGCTTATCACTGCCCTCATTAATTCCACTGAAATATTCTATTTTGTAGTCAATCAGGGACCCTTGCATTGGATTCTTACTCCATCAGCCAGGCAGGTCTCCCCCAGTGCAGGACCATTCCTGTCTCTGCTGCTTGGGGTACGATGAAATCTAGCACTGGGTTAGTACTGCTCCTGTGGTGATGGATCATGTTGAGACGCGGAGATAAGAACTGTTGCTGTGCATTAATTATCTGCTCCTGTCACTATTATAGAGGAGGAGGGTTAGGGTTTCTCTCCCAAATCCTCTATTCTCTCTCACCTGTGTATCACAAAATCATTCAGTCAACTCACTGCAACATTCCCTGGCTCCACCCTGTCTCTCACCCCAGGCCGCTGAGACCCTCATCCACACATTCATCATATCCAGGCTTGACTACACAAATTCCCTGCTTGTTGGCCTCCCCAGCTCCTCCCTCCACAAGCTGCAGACCCTATCCCCCCATCCTCGCCTGGCTCCCCATCACTCAGAGGCTACAGTTTAAGGTTCTGGTCCTCACCTTCAAAGTCTTCCACAGCCTTGCTCCTCCATACCTCTATGACCTCCTAACCCTGGCCTGCTTCACGTCCTCCGCCTCACATGCCCCACCATTGGTGGGCGGGCTTTCAACCTCTCTGCCCCCATTCTCTGGAACTCCATTCCACAGTCCCTCCGCCCCGCCCCCTCCCTTGCCTCCTTCACGACCCATCTCAAGACCCTCCTCTTTGACCGTGTCTTCGATCACCCTCCTACCCTTACCGTTCCTCCACCCCTCCTGATCTCAACCACGATCTTGGGTGCGGATCCCTGACGGTCCAACGCCTTGGGATGGCCTCCTGACATGAAAGGTGCTATTCAAATGTAATTTGTTGTTGTTTACAGTATATTCTGTGAAGCGCTTTGAGACAACAACAACAACAAATTACATTTGTATAGTGCTTTCACGTCAGGTGGACGTCCCGTCTCGTAGACCTGATCAGACGCTATATCAAATACAAGAATTATTATTATTATCTTCTTAAATATGTTGCTTTCTGCTTCAACCACAGCTTCTGTCAGTGACTTTTCACATTCTCACCCACTCTCTGCTTAAGACGTTCCTGCTAAAGTCTCTTTTAGATCTACTAATGGCAACAAGTGGACACAGCCGAGTGATATCCATTAATTGAATTCTTTCATAAAGTTTTGGATTAAACCTTTTGAAAACATCTATTCTATTCTCCCCCCACTTTCATTGATAAGCAAGGATTTGGATTTTTTGCTTGGAGTCGTTAAGAAAAGCAGAATGTCTTTTTGGCTTAATGCCAAAGAATATAAATTTGTACTGCAACAGAATGTCTATCGCAATACAGGCAATTAGAATGTTATATATATGTAATAAGCTGCAAATAGGATCCCAGTGATTATTGAAAATGTGTTCTACATCAGTTCCACAGGAAAAGTGTATTAGTCAATATAATTCTATAGGATAAAGCATTTCTCCTGTAGAGCCTCCATATTCATTCGATTAAGGCTTTAGCAGCGTTTATCAAGTACTCGGTTACATTCCTCTCATGCTAAGTGAATCTTAAATTTCCTGCTAGACTTTTCAATAATGAGATAGAGTAATTAGGCTGTAAATGGTTAAGGCTAAATGAAGGTTGGTGCTTCGGATGTCCTCCCAATGTGAAAGGCGGTATACAAATGTGATTTGTTGTCCTTGTTATGAGGTAGCCTTTAGAAAATGTGGCTGATATTCATGTGAAAATTTTTTTTTCCAGCAATCAAGAACGTGATTTCTCCCCAGGTGAAGGAGCACAGAGAAGGGGTCCTGTACTTGTTGGAAGCATACTTGAAAAGTAATTTATTTTTTCAATTTCTGTTTTGAGGGAGGGAGGGAGGGAGGGAGGGAATGGGTAGGAAAAGCTGCATGGTATACCATGTGGCATCAAGCATTTGCTGTATAAAGATGGCCTCATTAAATTGATTCTGGAGGATAATAATTCTGCACTCCACTTAATCGCTTGCAACTCTACCAAGAGGCATGGCTGCTCCAAGTCCAGTGGGGTCGAGTGAAGGAAGGGAAAGCTAGAAAACCGGCAAAAAAAATGATCCTGATTAGAGAACACTGAACAGATTCTAACATTTACCAACGTAGAGCTAAGCCACCTGCTTGACAACATGTGGAAGCAACGGTAATCCAAGCAAAATACCAAGAACAAATGCTTCAGATTTCATTACACACATCTTGTAAGAAGCTCTTGCAAACTCACTTCCAGCCCACTGAGATCAACGAGGGATTTTTCAGACTTCTGCACTCCTGCATTTCACCTTGGAATCTGAAGAACAAGCTAAACTATCCAGCAGACTTCACTAACTTGACAGCTCAGGGAAAAATATACAGTTATTGGGCACCCCAGTTCTGGCAAGTGGGATCCAATAGTAAATGAAAGACCTATAGAATCATCTTACATTTATATAACGTAAAACAAATGCCTGATAGGACTTTGCAGAATGAGATTAATTAGAAATTAATGTTACGGAGGCACATCCGGCAGCTAATTTACATAGTTTGACAAGAAAAAACACAAGGCCTGGTGGATTACCTGCTGAATTCTACCAATCTCTTCACCCTGAACTGATGTCGCAACTGATGCTGCTGTTCCACACTACACTTTCCTCACCTCTTTCAAAGCAGCTACAGATAAATCATAATACACAGGAAAAGTAAAGCCATCTTTGGTTTTACTCTTCCATATATGTTCATAGATATATCTCATATCTGTACAATACAATCCTAATCCTCATCCAATCATAAATATCATTTATACAGTGCCTTTCCCATCGGGAGGACGTTTCAAAGCATTTCACACTGCTGGGTACCTGAGCTGGGGGTGGGAGCTGAAGAAGGTGGGGAGGGGAATGGTCACCAAACTCGCGGTCAGAAAGGCAACTCTTGAGGTAAATTTATATCTTCTGGTCACTGATTACCCTATTGTCACTAGTGGGGGGGTCAATGACTAGAGGACATAGTTATAAATAGAGCAAAAGAAAGCTTGGAGAAATGTTTTCACACAGTTTTTTTGAATGGAATGTTCTGTCACCCCACATCCCAACAACCCTGTGTAGCAGATGCAGAGACCGTTTTGGTTTCAAGAGGGAAGTAGACGGATACATGAAAGAAATAGGCTTGAAGGTTATGGGGATAAGAGGGGGCAGTGGGATTGTATGAGCAGCTTGCTTTGAGAGCTGATGCAGACCCGAAGTTTCGAATGGTCTCCTTCTGCCCTGTAAACATCTAGGATTTCTCCCTCTGTAGCCTGAATTTGCTGGAGATCTGGAGTTGCTGCACTTTAGAGTAACATTCCCCATTTTCACTGCAGAAGACCAAATCTCAACTGTCCAGAACCCAGATGCTTCCAGACAACAAGGGGCTAAAGCTGGAGGCGGATGACATAGTCTTGTACATTTCTTGTGGCTGTGGGAGAATGTTAGTAGAAATCGAGTTGATTGAGGAAAGCCATATTGAACACAATACCTAAATATCTATTAGGTCTTTCTGCTTCTTGTATTTACATGAAATTCATCGTTGGTGAGATTTTTGTACTCTGCACTTCAAATATGTTTGTTATGGAGATTCTTGCTTAAGAAATGCAATATGTGAAGCAAATACATTTGTGTTCAGGTTTATTTTGTGTTTGTAATTTGGCAGGTGTGTGTAAAGTGTACTCTGAGCAGAGGGCAATTCGAGTCAAGCGATTGGTGGACAAGAAAAGGCTGTAAGTATTGTTTTAAGGCTCAATGTTTCCTCTTTAAAGAATAGTAATCAGTTTTCAAAGCTACGTATTGATGGTAGAGTACAATCTGTTTTTAATGGTGCTTACTTTTGAGAGCTACATCTCTTAACTTTATTGCAGGTCGGATCCTAGCCATATGATACATTCTGGTCCACCATGGAACCCATTGAACACGATATTTAAACCCACTGAGTCTTGGAAAATTTGTCTGAACCTTTTAAAGGCGCACTGCCCAAACGTGTTTAGGTTAAAATACTGATAGTAGATGATGGGAAATCCAGATGGATAACTCCTTTGATGACCTAGTGGGTTAAGGAATATCTAGTGCAAACTCACAACTGGAAATGGTATGCCATGGTTTTTCTGTTAGAACTGTGTTATAGTTGGCAAATACTTTGATATTATCGCTCACAAGTATACAGTCAATTCACTTTACAGTATATTCTGTGAAGCACCTTGAGACATCTAGAAGACGTAAAAAATGCCATATCAAACACAAGGGTTATTTATTATTATAATTGGGCCAATTTCAGTACAGATAGCTTGGATTCATAAATGCTGCAGTTAATACCATGGGGACTGATGTTCTGATTGGGTCCATGTTGAGAATTAACTTGAAATATCACTTGAAGGTATTTTTAGTGCCTGATACCTATTGGAAGCATTGTTGTCTAATTATTCAACATCTTATTAAATGAAAACATATTGATGGGCTCAGTGCATTGAGCCCACTGAGAGTTTGGACAATTACAAAAAATATTAATTTATTTGTTTAATTTTTTTTTCCTCACTGTGGCCCACTCCTTATCGATCATTTTCTATTCCCTTCTTGTAAGAATAGTATGAAATGGCATTGTAAATGATTGTATTGCATTGAATGATTGCATTGAATGATTGTAATTCTTCCTGGACAATGCAGTATTCCAAAAGGCTCCGAGATTTGACTCATAATTTTTAGAGTTTGAGATAATACTAGAATTAAGCTACATCAACATCACAAATCTTCAGCTTTACCTCCATGTATGTGATGTTGATGCAGTAAATGTTGATTCAAATAGTGTCAAAATGTTCAGGCTGGCAAACAGGATTATACGCTCAGCAGTGAAGGGCAGTATTTTGTGTGTTACTTGAGGGTGAAATGAATGTGATACAGCTGCAGAGAATAAGGATGTGGATTTGTAAGAAGCCGCGTTACAGATATGGATTGTGACAAAGAAACATTAAAATGAAAGCACTGATTAATCCAATCATAAAGTGCTGCAACTAACTTAATGGTCTATTTTATAATTTTAATAATCTGAATGATTACCAATATTAACATACAATACAAAATTACATTTGTATAGTGCCTTTTCACGTCGGGAGGACATCCCAAGGTGCAATTTAGTGGGATTGGGATTGCATAATTCTAGAAATTAACAGACTAATAGCTATAAAATTTAATGGTGGGTACACATAGGGCTGTCGCATAGCAATATCAGTAGATATACAGTGGAGACCTCTCCTTCTGATCCCAACACCCAGCTCGGGTGCACGGCCTTGACTATTCAATGACTTTGAGACATCCTCCCAATGTGAAAGGCGCTAAACAAATATAAATTGTTGTCGTTGTTGAACTCGTTTGACGCAATAGTCAGGACTGGCTACATTGCAGATATGGAAAGAGTGCAGATAATGGGGCATCATGCAAAATTCAAATTAGCTACCAAATGTTTGCCAAAAACTTCTTCCATCAAAAATTACACCACTTTTCACTCTGTCTTTCTGTCTTCTCTTGTTGACTATTTTCTCTCTCTCTCTCTTTTACTTGCTCCATCCCTGTTTCTCCCTAACTTGATGCTGTCCCTGTTTCAGATTGCAAAATAAATCCTTACTTACATATTGTTTGTTCCCAGAAGTGCTGCTATTATTGCTATTGTAAATTGCACTTGGCTATGTCATGTGTAAGAAATTATTTTCTAAAATAATACCTATCCCGCGAGCACATTGTTGCTTTTTTTAAAAAAAAATTCTGCGTTAGATTTATTGATATATACAGGAGAAGGTGATAATAATAATAATTTGGTCACTCAATCCATGACTGTTTGTGGGACACTGCTGTGCGCAATTGGCTGCCGTGTTTTGCCCACAAAATACAGTCAATTCACTTTGCAGTATATTTTGTGAAGAGCTTTGAGATGTCTTGACTTGATCAGGCGCTATATCAAATGCAAGGATTATTAATATTATTATACTGTGCAACTCAATTCTGTTTTGACAGCCATGCAGCTCTATTTTACTCCCACATCCGGATAGGTAGACACAAAATAGTCTCTAGAAATATGTACAATGACAAAATGTTAATGTTTTGGAGTGAATTCTGACATAATTGTTTCCATCTGAAGTAATTCAATTTTGAAAAATCTTCATGATTTAATGACTCTTCTCTGAGTTAATATTGTATTGTGTGTTGAACCAAAGACTGCATTTACAATGGTTGTCATTTGTACAGTAGCTTTAAAATATGACATGGTTTATTCGCCATGAAAAAGATCACAATATTCCTGTCATAGTCTAAATATATGCAGTATTTTTCAGTAAATGCCAAATATTAATATATTTTCCAAAACAACGCTTCATTGGAGCCACTTTTAAAATGTTAGCTTGGGTGGCACTTTTGCCTCTGAGTCAGAAGGTTCTGTGTTCAAGCCCAACATTGCGACATTGAGCTCACAGTCCAGGCTGATACTTCAGTGCAGTGCTGGGGTGCACTGCATTGTTAGAGATGTTGTCATTTGAAGAGATATCAAACTGCCGTCCTCACCCATTTTAGGTCGGCACTCTGGCCAACAATTCCCTAGATCGTACTGGTCATTCACTTCATGGCTGTTTGTGGGGCATTTATGTGTGCAAATGGATTGCTGTGTTCATCTACAAATATACAGTCACTGCATTTTGCAGTAAATCCTGTGGTACGCCGTGAATCGTTTTGACGATTTGATAAGGCACCATATCAAATGCAAGGATTACTATTATAAAATGCGTTTCTTTATTCTCCATTTTCTACTGCCTCATGCTGCAGTATGGGTCCTCAGGCAATACAATAGCAACAAAATTATATTTGTAAAGCGCCTTTCACGTCGGGAGGACGTCCCAAGGCACTGGACAGACAGAGTTACGGACCCGAGCAGGGGGTCAGGGTGGAGGGCAGCGGAGAAGCAGGGAGATCGAAAGCACGGTCGAAGAGGAGGCTCTTGGATGGGTCTTGAAGGTGGTGAGGGAGGGGATGAGGCGGAGAGACTGCGGGATGGAGTTCCAGGGAGGGTTTTTTAAAGTTACGAGTGATGACGGCTTTTTTTTTAATGGGGTGGGTACAGTGCCAGTAGACAGGGAGAGGTTTATGATGTCAGTGAGTAGAGGGATAATAGGTGGAGCTGGGAGTTAAGGAGAGGGATAGGGATGGGGTTGAGGGAGCAGGTGGTCGGTTTCATGCGGGTTATGATGGTGATGAGAGAGGAGTGGGAGACATGTTCAAAGGTGTGGAGGGAGGAAATGGGGAGGGGGTAGCAGATGCAGAGGCAGCTGAGCAGATTCCCTGGACTTTGGATTCGAGGAAGTCCAGCATCACCTCGCAGTTGCCATTTGAGGTGAGGATGGGCGAGACATGCGAGGGTGGGTGGAGGAGACAGTTCGTGATGGAGAAGAGGAGCCTGGGGTTGTCCTTAGACTCCAAGATTGTCAATACAATACAAAATTATATTTGTATAGGGCCTTTCACGTAAGGATGACGTCCCAATAGGCACCCTTCAATACTTCAACGATTGGCTATTTTTTGTGTGTGTCTAGCCAATGAATGTTGGCAGGTTATTTGACCTTGGGCACATCACTGTCCTATCCAATCCGTCCTCAGCATCCGCATACATGCACTTTCAAGCAATAGTGTCTGTATAGTGATCAGGGGCAGGAACCTTTGCTGAAATATAATGATCCATCCTGTTGTTGAGCGCTGTTGTGACATTTTTTTTCATAGGTCAAGAATTGCACCTGAACAGCATAGCAAGAAACCTTTGGTTTCATCTTCAGAGTTGAATCTTCCTAGCAAGACAGAGAATTCAGAAGAACAAGTCATAAAAGATGAAAATAATGGTATGTAGCAACAAATGTTATAAACTAGTAGTATGATCACAGTAAAATGAAAGCAGGACTTGTGGTAAATTTTTATGTACAGATAATTTTATTAATGATCATTTGCAAAGGAATTATTGTTAGGTCATAAAATTTGAAGTACCAGTGGAGTGAATTTATCAATCATGCTTTTCCTTTCAGAACTGTGTGAAATATACAGTCATACAGTTTTTATGCCACTTAGAGATGGGTGGAGGAAGTTTGCAGTTGAACTCGTCTGTTTTTCATGAAATGTTTATGCAAAACTAAGTGCATATTCTTCAAAAGATCTGTTCAAATACAGTCATTGGGGTTAAAATTGCTTTAATGGCAGAAGCTGGAAAACTTCAAGCATTGCACACTGCATGTTCCATTGGGAAGCCTCGGTATGTCACTCTTAACTTCAGATGTTAGCCTGGCTCAGTTGGTAGCACTTCTCACCTCTGAGTCTGAAGGTTGTGGATTCAAGTGCCGAAGTTGAGTCTTTGAACTCACATTGTCTAGGCTGACACTCCAACTCGGTGCTGAGGACGCACTACATTGTTTGAGGTGCCATCATCTGAACTAACCTTGTGATCCTTCAGATGAGACGTTAATCAGGGTCCCCTTGGCCTGCTCAGGTGGCCTTTAAAGATCCCATGCCACTGAAGTGAGTTGCTCCGGGTTTCCTGGTTGACAATTCCTGAGTTAAAATTGGTTCTTCACTTGATGGATATTTGTCGGAAATCGCTGTATGCAAATTAGCTGTCTTGCTTTCTACAAATACATGGCCACTTACAAATACATATTACACTTTACCTCTGAAGCATTTTGAAATGTCTTCCCAACGTGAAAGTTGCTACATATATTAAGATATTACAACAACTTGCATTTATATGGCCCCCTTCATGCAGGGCAGCGTCTTGGAACGCTTGTAATATTATTACAAGCTGTGAGACAATTTTGAATTGGAGTTACACTGTTTATTTACATCGCAAACATTTTTCTCTCCTTTACATAATCAAATTGTGTTTAATCTGAGTAAGTTTATCACCATATGATTTGAATCAGTGGGGTTATTTTGCTTTCTGAAATTTGGTGAGCATTTAGTACTGAAATTAATTAACTATGAACGTTTATTCTGAAATTAATGAACTATACGTATTGATGTGCATGTTAAAATGAGCCAATTAAGAAATTAATTAAAAAAGGTAACATTGATCCTTGCTTTGAAACCCCAATATACTAAACAGAATAAAACATATTACTGAAGTGCACTAATTTATCTTAGTTTTGTATGAGACATTAAAAAATAAACTTTCTTCTATGATGTGGAGTACACAGGCTGTTTTATGATACTGCTGCTTTTATTTTATGGGAATAATAATTTCACCATTCCAGGCAGTAATAAACAAAAATGTTTCAACTGAACTGGCACGACTTTCTTTGAATTAAAAGATTACCCGAACAATACTGATGGTTCTCTCACAAAGAATAAAATAGGATTTCTTACCAGTAATAAACACATTTGAATCTGTTCTTAGATATCTATTAGTGCTTGTAAATTTGTGCGTTAATGTCCATTTAAGAATCGAACATAAGAATGTGTTTTGTTTTGTTACTCATTTCTCAATTGATGTATCCTGTTGGGAATTGAAGGTCATTCAATATGAGATGGCTTTGTAGTGACTACTATACTGTACAGCTGTTCCTAGTAGAGGCTGTTTGTAAATCAGCCACTAAGTTAACTTTACATACATTTTTGAAAGCTTACAGTGTCAGACTTCCCTGAAGTCTCCACTGATTTTATGCAAGTTATATTTGTTTCTTCTTGCTAAATGCTAACCTGGCTCATTTGGTAGCACTCTCACCTCTGAGTCAGAAGGCTATGGATTCAAGCCCCAGGATTTGAGTGCATAACTGCTCCATTGCACTGTAGGGAAGAACTGCTTTGCTGGATATCCCGTCTATGAAACAAGATATTAAACAGATCTTATTTGCTTGTTTCACATGACTTTAAAAATTCAATGACTATTAAAAAGAGAGAAAGGGGTTTCTCCCAGTGCCTTACAAAATCTACCAAAAAACATACCAGCTTTCGGGATACATTCTCACTCAAGACTGGTCAAATTTGTAAGGGGATTTGATACTGCTGTGAGCCAGTGCCTCCTCGTCCTCTCCAGCCTTTGACATTGAAGAATACTCTATCCTCCTTTGCTGCTTTTTCTCCCTGTTCCACCTCCGCATGGAGTCACCTTTCTCAAATATATGGATGATAACCAACTGTATCTCTATGCCTCTATCCTCAACTTCAGGACGACTGCTGACTTTACAGCAGGAGCAGTGACATCAAGTCCTGGATGAGCCATAAGGATGTTCAACTGAACATCAGCAAATCTGAATCCCAGCACTCTGCACCTCTGGCTGTGACAGTATCAGTCTCCCTGGGTGCTCCCTCCTGCTCACGGAGTCAGTGCACAATCTTTTTCTGTTGTCCCTCAGCCCCTGTTGAGCCTACTGGAGCTCTGTTCCCTATAAAGTGCATTGTGAAACACTTTGAGATATTTTCTTACATGAAAAGTGTTATATATGTACATGTTTTTGGTGCCTTGGCAACATCCGACAGATTAATTGACCATACACCTGATGGCTGGTACTGCTTTCATCACAAATAGCTTCTGTCTGCCCATTGGGGAGGGAGGAGGGGAGAGAAATTCATTACACTTAATAGTAATTGCTTGTCAAGTAATTTTGCTTTGAAATTTCAATTTAATCAGGCGCTAAAAAAACCATAGCTCCTTTCTTTTAGTAGGCAGCAAAGTGTCTGTATTGTATGAAAGGTGCAAGTAAAATTGATGGGAATGTTAGATAATACTTCATTTTTACGAAGCCTTTTCTTCATAATTAGACTGATGAGCAACTAGAAGTCAGGAGCTGTAGCTGAAAGCTTTGGATCTCTCTCCCTCAATTCCTCCCCTTTCTCCTCTTTTAGATCATGCAGCTGTTTGTCATTTTGTTATGTAAAGTTTCAAGTCTAAAAAAGGTGACTAAGTGTAACTTGGGTAGAAGAATTAGGAGGCAATTGAAGGAATCTTTGAGCAAGAAGCTTCCTTGCGTTGGAATATAGTTATGATTTTAAAGGCCTTGTAATTTGCATATGGTGCCTGGAGCTAATCCCCAAGTGTTTGTATGTGAAAAACCGAACAACTGTAGTGAGTAATTTCCCTTCAGGATGGATTGTGATGTGGCATCTGCAGCAGTGCCATGCTGTGGCAGGAAATGCTTTTAGGCTTCCAGCCTCTTACAGCGTGGGATTCCTGTAGAAACCAATTCCATATTTATGTTAATGAAGATTATATTATCATGCAATGCCAAGTTGACTAATGCAGCTTTAATTTCAACGAATCACTTCCATTGGGAGTGGTTCCATAATAGACACTAGGTTCCTGACACTGTGGTATTTTCCTTATTTACTCTCTGTGTGTTGCTGCTCATGCTGTGCAATCTGCCCAAACAACTGTGTTTATATATGGTTGTGTGAAAGTACACATTGACCACTACCCCTCCACCAGTGGCTGCCACGCTTTCAGCGACTAAGCCCCAAAAGCTTTGGATCTCTCTCCCTCAATTCCTCCCCTTTCTCCTCTTTTAGATCATGACTGAAAACCTTCCTCTTCAACCATGTTTACGGTCATCTCCTCCCTCCAGGCTCCACCAATATTAAACGCTCCGAGATGCTGCCCCGTGTGAAGGGCGCTATATAAATGCAAGTTGTTGTTGTTATCCTTATATTCAGCAAGGTCAGTAAACAACGACAACAAGATTACATTTGTATAGCGCCTTTCACGTCAGGAGGGGTCAGGAGACCAATAGCATGGTCGAAGAGGAGGGTCTTGAGGGGGGACGTGAAGGAGGCTAAGAAGGGGGCGAGGAGGACTGATTGGGGGATGAAATTCTAGAAGTTGGGGGCAGAGTGACTGAAGGCTCTCTCGCCAATGGTGGGGCGGGTGGGTCGGGGGTTGTGGAGCAGGCCGGAGCCAGCTGAGCGGAGTATATTCTGTGGAGCGCTTTGAGACGTGATAAGGCGCTATATCAAGCATATCAAATTTTATCATTGTCTAGGGTTTCACATGAAGAGCAGTCACTCGAATGGGGTATTGGAGGGTATTGCTGCCTGTATAATTGTACACTAGTGTCAGTCAGAACCTTAAGGGGTGAAAGACGAAAAAAAATACAAATTGCGTTTAAGAAATGTTTTAAATCATTCACTAAAAAGTTGAATTCCCTCTCGCAGCGTGGAAGTAACAAGTGTTTTATTTATTTAAATGAAGCCTGTGGTATGTGTTTGTTTACCTTTTTTTTGCAATGTGGTATATCTCAGTTTGGAGGGTAAGTCAAATTTAATGTCCATTTCCATAATTGGTTAGTGGATTTCATACAGAAATTGTCTAAAGATTTTGTAATAATTATCTCATTCCTGAAGAATTTAAGAACATAACTTGGGATGTTCCCCCCAACATGAAATATGCTATGTAAATGCAATTTGTTGTTGTAACCCTTCTTCACCTTCATACTTAAGAACATAACCCTTATGTCCAACTGTAATTTGCTAGATATGCTACCGCAATATTATTGATTTACTATATTATTAGATCCTTATTGAAAATGTGAAAGGTTTGAAGTTATTGGTTCAGCATTCAAGGGGTAAGAATACTGTAGTAATGGAAATGATGCATCTCTGGAACTTCTCTTCCTGAGGCGTGCTATATAAATGCAATTTGTTGTTGTTGGTGATTGTTTTGTTAGTTGCTTAGTTTTACATTTACAGTACTGGTACTTTTAGTTTGCACTCAGTATGATCTGTGAATACAGTTTTAGTTGAGATTTTTATAGACTTCATGACATATACATATTATTGTGTTTTTAAATACCCAAGCCTAGTACACCAAATCCGTTCTTGCTTCATAGCATCTCGTCTCTCATCCCTTTCAACCGTGGTCGGATCTTGTACTCTTCTACCTGCCAATTTTCCCCCATTGTAGTCCAGATGTCAATGCCAAACAAAGATGCTGAAGAGTGTTTGCAGTCTATTTTACAAAATAGGGATGGACGGATAGCATTTTGCCCAATTGGCCCCATAGTATAGTATTCACATGGGTGTTCTCAGTGCAGGAAAAACTATACCATTTGTCCATACATTTTCTAAACATTAAACATCTATTGTTCAATGCTTTGAGGTGTTTTGCCTTTTTAAATGGTACTAGATATACATGCAAGTTGTTGTCAACTACTATATCCTGCGTACTCGGCACTCTACCTTCACATCCTAATGTGTATGGAATGTAATATGTAATGGGTTCAGCAAAGGAGAATTGACCAGGTTAATTCCAATAATTACATTATAAGGAAAAGGTCACGGAGCAACCTGTTTTCATTAGGGAAAAGATGTTTGATTGATAACATGATCCAGATGTGTAAAGTATTGATTGTCTAGTTGCCAGCAAGTTATTTAATGTAGATTGTGTGCATCAATCTGGAGAGTATAAGGACAGAATTAACAAGCCTCCAGCATGAGTGGAGGAATTTCTCCCCTGTCCACCCCCACAGAGTATGGAATGGACTCCCTTCTAAACACTTCATGCCGTGTTGATTAACACCTTCTTTTGCACAGATAAAAAGGGCTGGCTGAACATTTGGTTTGAGTTGGAGTTGGGGGTAATAACAGCTAGTTACTGATGATCAAATCTTGTATGGTATATGATAGTTCCTGAGCTGCTCAGGCTGTACAACAATCACACCAGTGAAGGATGTGCAATATAGGTTTAGTAGATGTTTCACTTGACTTCCTTTTGGGGCCGTGAGAATCTTTCAAACTCTTTCTTCTGGTGACGAAATGGGTTGTATTGAACCCATTTCGTAACTTCAGTCTGAGATTGAAGTTACGTCCTTGATGTCCCAAAAGGATAAAATGGACTTTTCTCATTTTGTGCTTTGTCAGCTGAGATTAAGATGCTTTTCCGTTGTCCGGCCTTGGAAATACTAGAATGAAAGTTACCCCGTGTGAGCTGAATGTTTTGTTTTTCAATTTACAAGTGTAATTTTGTTTTCGTCTTTAAAAGTATATTTGAAATGAAGGGTTTATTTCTTCAAAATTATCTCAGCAGGGATTGCAATTTTTGCCCTTTTTGTGCTTCAGATGTGTTTTCGTATTCTAAAATGGAATCCCTGTTAAAATTATTGCAATTGTGTATGTCTTTCTAAGCAGATAAAAGCATCCCAGAGGTGCAAGACAACTTGGGTCTTTGGGAAGATGGCAAATGGGAAGATGAACTTTCGCCGGAGGAAATTCAAATGGTAATTACTTTAATTGTTTCACTCTTCAGTCATAGTAACGAAAATACTTGAAGCCTAAGTTTCTAGGTGTTGAATGATGACTCCATTGTCAGACTCCACCACTATCAAGTGCTCCGGGACAGTAACTCGCGTGAAGGGTGCTATATAAATGCAAGTTGTTGTTGTTTGTGGTGGTGGTTGTGAGCTGAAGCTCCTAACAATTCACAAATGGTAATTACCAGGTTGGAAGAGCTATTGGAATGTGAGGGCACATGAAAAGTTGGGATTGCTTTCTTGTCAACAAGAAGAGGATATAATATTAAGAATTATTGTCTGATGAAAAAAGGGAGATTAGAAGAATTATTTTTACATAAATGGCTTTTAGAATGTGAAATGCTTTACTACAAATGACTGTTGAAGCTGAGGTGCTGTGCTCTATTAAATGCCATGTGTAATTGGATGTGTGCAGCGTGGAGCATGTTATATAATTAAAAATCAATGAGGGATTTATTGAGTATGTAAATAAGCAATTTTCATTGGGTGTAAACTACATATTTATGAGCACTTCTGTCATATGTGTTTGCCCACAGTTTACACAAGGCACATTATAGTCCAGAATAATGGCAATTAAAAGAGAATTGAATAAATATTTGAAGGAAAATATTATTAAAAGTAAAAAAAATGAGGAAAGAGCAGGATAGGACTAGTAGGAGAGCTAGCACCAGCACAGACACAATGGGCCAAATGGCCTTCTTCCATGCTGCAAACATTCTTTAATTCAATGAATTGAAGAAGATAATAATAGAAGAAAATCTAGGAGACAAATAACCAGGATATGGGAGAATGTTATTGAAACTGAGCAACAAATATCAATTGATGATAAATTGCACTTGTATATTATCTCTACTTTTGGCTAAATGAAAAGATAGTCCCAACAATCTATCTCTGGAATTTCCATGTGTAGGTGAAATGCATGGAATTGTTAGGTTGGTTTGGATACTCTTAAGCATAGGGATGTTTCTGCATATGTCAGGCTGACCCAAAAAAAAGATAGTGTGCTGAAAGATCAAATGGTTAAGGACAAATTAGCCAGTATTGCAGTGGCAAGCTATGTTTTTTTAGTTGGCTAAACTCCAGCAATTCCCCAACACACACTCTGAGGTCCCCAAGCATTGCCTCTTGTCAACCTGTATCTAATACTCTCTGGAATTAAGTAACCAGGGTGTGTCCTTCCAGAGAGAGAGAAAGTGCCCATCCATTGCAGATACAGGGAAATATCCATATGTGGGTTGCGTGCATGTGGTATCTGTCTGATTTGGATATTCTGATTATGTTAGGGACCCAGCTGACCAAAAAATACACAGCCTGAGTGAGGTTTTGTTTCACACTAAACCACCAGGGACTCCTGTACTCCAGATTAGATAACATCAGCATATTGGAGAAACAAAATTGGGATCTGAATCAACTGGAGGAAGGGAAGGACTTTACACTGCAATGTTTACTAGAGAAGAGTTGGATTGGTGTACTGTGCGCAAGTACTTGTGTGTCAGATTTCATCAAGTCTTGATTACTAAATGCCTGTTGTATGTGAATGATGGTTTCTGGGACCTATTCAGATTATTGCAAAAATATTTTTTTTGGGGGATCTCTGAAACCTCTTTTACACAAGCAAAGTGATTTTTGTGCTTTCAGTTCTGTATCTGATAGGCAATATATATCAAATGAAATAATGTAATTGTGTTATGTACATTCATATGTTTTGCATTTTGTGAGATTGCTAATGCTGCGATGCTTTCTTCCTGGCAGTTTGAACAGGAAAACCAGCGCCTTCTCACCGACATGAATAGCCTGGTGGACGAAGTGAGGTAATTTTATAACATTGCAGCATTACAGGAAATCTGTTAAAAGAAAACAATGCAGACCCGATGCAGTCTTCAGTGTAATTAATGCTTCTGTCTACCATTTATGGAAATCATCACAGTTGGAGGAAAATGTTAATTACTCTGTGACACATCCACAGATGAATATTTCCCCAGATTTTATGTAGCGAGTTCCTTTCCTTCTGGCATTGACTAATAGCATGAACAAACACACCCACCTCCTTGTCTTAGTGCTTTTGTTTTCAGAAGTCATCCAGGTATTAATTTTATACACGTTAGAGGTTGAGTTTTAGTGATGGACATCTGGTTACTCGAACTATGATTGACTCCCCTCCCCCCAGTGCCCCGTACTCTCCTATTTTTTCTCTAAGATAGTGATTCACAATGCGCAGAGATCCACCGACAGCTGCAGAGCTTCATTACCTCACCCAAGTGGATGCTCTGAGTATGAGCTTAACTACAATGACTGTCATCAAATTGTTCAATCACAAGTGGCAGAGTAGCCAAGTCAGATTCCAATTGAACTTTTCAGCAGTTTCTCAATCAGGAAGGGTAGGAGGGTGGCCGAAGGAGGGTCTTGACACGTACCTTGAAGGAGGCAAGGGAGGAAGCAAGGCAAAGAGCCTGCTGAGAGGAGAGAGCAGACAGGTTGATGAGGGGTTAGCAGGTCACTGAGGTAGGACTGTGGAGGGTCTTGAAAGCGAGGCTGTGGACGGTCTTGAAGACGAGGCTTTGGAGGGTCTTGAAAGCTAGGACAAGGATTTTGAATTCTATCCTCTGAGGGATGGCGAGCCAGTGGAGCCGGACGAGGGTGGGGGCGATGGGGTCACAGAGCCTGGTGCTGCAGAGTGCTGGACGATCTGCAGCTTGTGGAGAGAAGAGTTGGGAAGGTTGATAAGCAGGGAGTTGACGTGGTCGAACCTAGATATGATATACACGTGAATGAGAGTTTCAGCAGCCTGCGATGTGAGACAGTGTCAGAACCGGGCGATGTTGTGGAGGTGGGAGAAGGCAGAGCGGGTCATGGCACGGATGTGGGGTAGAACAGATAGTTGTGGGTCAAACAAGACACCAAGGTTCCGGACTGGCTCAGTGAGGTGGAGTGTGCATCCATGGAAAGTGATTCTGTCAGTGCCTGAGGCGTGCAAGCGCTGACAGGAGTCAATCAGGGAGGTCTCCGTCTTGTTGATATGTAACTGTAAAATGTTAGCTCTCATCCAGGACTTGATGTCTGACAGACATTCTGTCAGGACAGCAGTAGTCCTGAAGTCAAGGGTGGAGGCAGAGAGATAGCATTGCATTAAGTGTCAACCGCATATATGTGGAAATTGATCCCATGTCTGCGGATAATGTCACCAAGAAGGAGCATGTATTCCAACAAAACTAAGATTTATATGTCTTTTAGAGGAACAAAAATCCTAGAAGGACTTTTATGAAGTGAATGTTAAGTGGAGTAATTGGGAAGCAGCAGAGTGTTACAAACAACAATGAGATGAGAAGCCAATTAATTGAAATTTGTGGTATGAATTTGTATGAGAAGAGAATACAAACCAGGAGAGGAAAAACTCCTCATTTCTTTTAAATAACTGCAGGGGAGTGGGATGTGCATTTTAAATCGTAAGACATGTCAAACCTAAATTATTGATTCAATCAAAAAATTATAATGATTTGAATACTTATATTTAATATAGAATGTTAATTAGGCAATACTACAGCACATAGTATTGCCTAAGTATTTCCATGGAGCATTGAATCATTGGGAGAAATCCATCTTACAATTTTCAGACCTTCATGTGAAGAAAAGTTGATGCCAGCTGTTATTATTACCTTCTGATTCTAGGTAAATTGTAAGCTTTACTGCATCTTAGCATTACATTTCGGATTGATTCAAATGGATTTGAAATAAAAAAAAATTATTTGTTTGGAAGATTGATTGATTCAGCAGTTCAGCTATTATTTCCTGTGTTTCAGACTTATAGTGGCTATGAACAGTCTATTTTCTGTCGATCGTGTGTGAAGAGACAAAAGGAAATTTGCACTGCACAAGGCTTAGAGTAGTGCAAACTCTTGAGCACTCTAAATTAGAATAGAAAGAAGTGAAGAAAAGGAAAGATGAAAAGCAGAATTTTTGTGTTGTCAATTTTATATGAAGTTGTTATATGGAATGAATAAGGTCTACGTGCACAATTTAAAAACCTGACTGTATCTCATGCTCCTTATTTTTTGATCATTTCTGCTAAGCCACACGTGCAAAGTGCCAGACATACAGGAAGACATTGTGGCCATTTTTGTATTAATAGTTTTATTATAAAGATGCTAAAAATAACTATCATCATCAGGGGAAGGGAATTTGAAAAAAAATACTAACCCCTTTTTTATAACAATATGAAGTAGCCTTCAACTCTTACAATGACTAATGTGTTTACACAGCAGTGCAGGCTGTACATTTCGTTTTTTTCAAAGACCCATGTTCACCAATCCATTCCCCAATCGTCATTTTGTGATAAGTATCACACATTTGACTTGGGCCTTTTCTTTCAATACTTTCCATTACCTTCTTGAATTGGGACACCCTGGACATTTCCAGAATGTGTACTTACCATGCACCAACCCCCAGATCTGTGGTTCCTTCCAGTATGATCATTAGAAATGCTTTATGTCTTTCGTGTTAACAACAACTTTTATAGCCCCCCTCAAGCAGGGCCGTGTCCCAGCTGCTTTATTAAAGATACTGTAACACATAAACAAAACGTATACAATTGAAAGGGTTTGTTTCAATTTTCAAATGCCCTTTGGCTACAATACTGTCTCTCATGCCCAGCCAATATTTGAGGAACTCCAGTTTTAAAGCAATGCATTATCACTGATGCCTGTCATGACTGTACACAGTATGAGAGCTGAATGAGGAAATGAAGTGTTTGTGTTCAAGGAAGATGACTGAATAAATGCAACACCTTTTCTCATTTGGTTCTTATTTCTTTTTCACCATGTAAAGCTGAGTTTACTGGTCTGCACTCTAGTATACAAAGGTGACATCCTATGGTACAATTGGAATATTAAACTTTGAGTCAACTTGAACTTTTCATGAAAAATATGCTCAAATTAGGTCATATGGAAATCGTGTGCATTTGCTGGATGTCACAAAGATTGCTCTCGGCAGTGTCATTTTAAATAAATACTTGCCTTTTCCCATTTATAAAAATATCCAAGTGATCTAATCAGAGGACATGAGTTGGAAGCAGTGGCGTGTGAAAAAATACATGGTTTCTGACGGGAGCTTAATAGGTCAGTGGTGTACATTTCTGTAGATCGTTGCTCTCTGTTTCATGGCCTTTATTTCTTCCCATTAATATTCCCTACACAAGCTGCAGACTATCCAGAACTCTGCAGCTTGTGTCCTCTCCCAAGTAGACTCTGTGAACCTATCACTTTCATCCTCGTTCAATTCCATTGGTTCCCCAACCCCCAGCGGATCCAATTCAAGATCCCCATTCTCACCTTTATATCTTTCCATGTTCTCACCCCACCTGACCTCTGCAAATTCCTTCAACTCTAAAATTGATCTCCTTCAACTCTAAAGTTCAACTTGATCATTCCCTTCGCTCAGCAAGCACTGGCCTGCTTCATGTCTTCCGCCCTATCAGCCCCACCTTCAACGGACAGGCTTCCAGCGTTCTTCCCCCACTCTCCGGAATTCCATCGTGAAGTCCGTCCGACTCTCTCTCACCCTCTCCTCTTTGATCGTGATTTTGGCCATCTTCCCCTCCCCATCTACCTCTGGAAACCACCCCCCCCCCCATTTGGGTAGCCTTACAGCATTGTGAATTGCTTTGATTCAGCCTCCCAACGTGGCCAGCACTATATAAATGTTAATTGTATTGTATATTATGAAATGCAGCATGAATTGGTCAAAAAGTGTAATTCAGGAGAAAGCAGAATACAGAATACGTCTCTTTTTCAATGAGCCATTTACATCATGTGATTCATCTTGTAACATCAATCACAGGCATTATCATCCAGGTATTTCACATTATTATAGAGACAAATAAAATTGAGGAACTGAAATAACAAATCCAGCTGGAGTAAAACATTACACAATACCAAGTATAGAAATCTGGCTGAAGATGGGCAAGATTGATGCCTGAATAATAGAATATATGTTTTTTGGAATGAGACGAGAAAATGGGCAGAAGTAGTCACTATCATGGCACTAGAAAGGGGAGGATCTAAATGGTGTACGCAAGCAGAATTTCTACAGATAGAAATAAGGATCAGAAAATGATGTAAAAGACTGGAAGTATTTTACTGATCTTACTGTGAGGATTTGACATGCAGGTTGTATCATGTAAGAAAAATCAAGTAATCAAAATTGGAGATTCGGACTTAATAAGAGATAGCAGTCAGTAAGAGAAATGGAATGCTTGAATTTATTGCAAGAGGTTTGGAACATGAAAGTACGCAGGTGCTTCTGCATTTGTATAGAGTGCTGCAGAGATTGTTTGCAGTATTGTGTTCATTTTTAGACACCCAATATTGGGAAACATCTTCTAGCCTTCAAGGGAGTCCAATGATGGTTCATTAGATTAATACCTGGTATAAAGGGGTAAGGCAGAGGAAGATGAGGGGGTAATTTGATTGAAGTATTTAAAATGGTGAAAGCAAATGATGGGTTGGATAATGGATGGTGCCTTGGTAGTGAGATCCATTACAAAGGAGGAATAGCCTTAAAATTAGAACAAAAAATAGTCAGTACTGAGGTCAAGAAGCATTTCTATGCATAGAGAGTTGTGAAGATGTAGAATATCTGACCCACCGCGGGGATAAGAGATACTTAATTTAGGAAGTAAGAGAGTATTTTGGAAATAGTGACCACAGTATGATTGGATTCGATATTAGGCCTGAGAATTAAAAAAAACAGCATTACAATCCAATGTCTTGGATTTCAACAAGAATAACTAAGTAACTGAAGAGAAAGTTAACTAAAC